ATGATAATGTCCAAATGGAGTGTTGTTGTGCAAAGATGAAGCTTTAAAACATTCTTTGAATAGACTATGTAACAACATGCATGCTGCCAAGATACACTTGTAAGAGCATTTTTGTAATGAAGCAACAAAGGTTTATTTTGTCATTTACTAAAGTGAGGAATTTACCACCGGCTTTCACATTTTGTATAACTATGTTTTTATTTCTAAACAAAGAGTTTCAACACACTCAAATGTCTTTATTTTTGCTTATTTTTAGTATTTCTAAAATGCAGAAAAATTTAAAGCGAAGTCATTACTCTTCTCAGTTATTAGCAGTGGCACAGAAACAGGGGTACATGGAGTAACAAGTACATTTGGGCCCATTATCTAGGAGCAGAATTCCATTCTATTTCCCCTTCTTAAAGTGAAGGTAAACCCCAACAATATACAGTTGAAAGCATTTTGTTATATGTGTTTCATAAGTGACATTGATTGTGTCAGAAATTCAGAGCTGTCCAATGCATGGTCCTTTGTTACCTCAAAGATTCTACCAAGTTCTTGCACTGCATAACAATTAATCCCTATACTGTAGAGATTAGGAGAATGGATGGAATTCAGTAGTTTAACCATATGTAAAGCAGTGAGAAGGTGGACTTTAATGCCTGGCTGCTGCATAAATGCCTCCACTATTCTGTGTTGGAAGATCACTCAATGCGCCACCAGCACCGTCAGCTCCTGGTCACTGTTTATGACCATAGTCGGGGATGGGCTCCTGATCATATGACCACTGTGACTAGCTGTCTCAGTGATCTCATGATTGGGAGCCCGTCCATGTTTCCTTTCATTCAGGGAGTTTTAAAGGACCAGAAGCAAGGGGATAGCTGTGCTGGGCTGACACCAAATCTACAACTTCAGTTCATAAAAATGCATGTGGAGTCGTTCCACAAGAGACAATTAGGAACGCAGTACATTTCAAAGAGATCAATAGATATTTTCTGTACATGTAGGCTTTTTAATAGAATAAAACATGGGGAGATGTGCTTGTTTTGCTGAGATGTTCTGTATATGTTTCCATATGTTTTTTTATTTTTATTTTGCCCTAACACACCCTTTACCATAAATCATGATGTGTTTGTCAGAAAAAAAAGTACTAGTTCTTAGATGTGTTACACTAAGTTGAGCTACCCATAGACTTGAGATGGCATTTAAAACACAGGTAGGTCTACTGCTGAATAAAATTTAGGACAATTGAATGAAGGAGTGACTTGTCATTTCTCACCTCATTCAGCCCAGTCATTGGAGCTCCAGCTAGCGCATGAGAGATAATTGTGTTCATCGCTGCTTTTATTATTATTGTTCTCATGTCATATAAAAGGAATCTTCTGATCAGCAGCTTAGTAAAACATGCTTTTTCAGGTTAATGGTTGTCTAGCATATAAGAGTCTTTTAACACTTATAGGCAACAATATCAGGCTGAACAACCACCTACACTGAAGGATCACATGAAGCTGGCTGAAAAGAAGCCTGTTGGGAGAATAAGTGTTAAGCTGGCCATACACCTATAGATTATCTGCAGATTTTCTATGGTCAGATGGAAAAAGGGCAGCAGATTCCTCAATCTACACTAAACTGTGTGGATAGAGGAATCTCCCACTGGGCCAAGCTTCAGTATCTTGCTAGTCGGCCCCGCCGGCTGTCAAAATACCTGAACAATCTGATTGGATGCAGGCATTGTTCAGGTATTTTAAGAGCAAGCGGGCTCTTAAGGAATAGATTGAGGAATAGATTGAGGAATCTGCTGCACTTTTTCCATCTGACCATAGAAAATCTGCAGATAATCTATAGGTGTATGACCAGAAGCCTTTCCTAACCTTTACTTCTGAAAATCAGCTTGACTGTCATGCTAATTGATTTCTTTTTTTGAATCGCTGTCACAGAACAAGTATACCAATCAAGAGTTCAGAGTCCAAGTCAGTCCAGCTGAGTGCAACTCAGAAAGTAAGTACTGAAAACTTTAAAACAGGCATGGCAGCCAGGCAACCAGGGTACTCAAAAGAAGATCAGCAATGGCAGCTTGCATGTTTCTTTAAGCAAAGGTTTCCTTTAAAGCACCTCTGTCGCTTCCCCAAAATAAGAATTGCTTCTACAATAAAAATCCTTACCCCCTTCTGAGTGAATCCATACTCTGCTATATGGAAGTATTACAGCCCCAGGGAAATTTTGTAGCACCTGACACTTTTGGGAGTGTCCGATTCCTCATTATCATTCCTCCTGCCAAGCCCTACGTCACTACCGGACACACTAGAGACATAGGAGCTGGAGGGAGGAACCAAAAAGCAGAAAAACGAGGCATCTTCAACCATATCCAATATGATTCTGTCAAAGGCTTTAGCGTTTCTGAAAGCAAAGAGTTTGGGGAGCCTAAGAAACAAAAGAATCACTTTAAAGTGACACTAAACTCACGAGTTAGAGTGACATTAAAGCTAACC